GCAATGTTTAAAGGTACCATTTGCTTAGTTTTCTTAATTTGCATAAAACAAATGAGAAAGATCGAACTTGATTGAATAATTACATAAAACATATTTTTTGTTACGTTTAATTTTAACAAAAAAATAAATAAATAAATAAATAAAAAACACTTGAGTAGCTTTCGACAAATTTTTCGAAAATGTGTTTGTTTCTTAACTTTTGAAAACTAGTGTAACATTACAACACAAATATAATCTCAGAATGAAAAAGAAATGTTTTGAAATGTTGTTTTTTCCCCAATAAAAATATAAAACTTATTTTCATGATTAATGATAGTTTTCCTTTCCAATTATTTATTTATATAAAAAAGTTTTAGGTCCTTCAAACTTCAATTTCAGCTTCTTACAATGGCGCCCCACGTTGGGCACCATTGTAAGAGGCCCGTGTCTCTCTCGCGAGCACCTAGATGTTTGTAGGAAGGGAAGAAACATTCGACATGATTCAAATCTAATCTATTTATTTCAACTCTAAGAAAAGACACAATTTCAACCAATAATCTTAAGAAAAGGTCTCAATAAAAATCGTGAAAGTGGAACAACGACAGTAACACGTAAGCGATTAGTCGACTGACAAACTAGATCCTTCTTTTAATTCATGATCTAACTTTTTATCTAATTTAATATAATCTTAATTCAATCTTAGTGAATAATCCTCACTTTAAGTTTTCCTTCTATTAATAATCAAAGCTCTATAATTCAAATATTATACCTTTAATATCAATCTCATCTGTCTAGAGTATATCTCCACTCCTTCTCCTTCTAAAGCTAGAAAACCTCGCCTATTTATAGTAAGTTAAATTGCATATCACTATTCTCTTCTTACGAAGGGTGGTTGTGATTAACGCGAATTGATAGCCCAAAGATTTCCCAAGAGGATTAGTTAGAAGGTCGCGTATAGATCCATCACACCTTAGTAGGTATATTCACCTTATTATGCGCACTTATTTTTATGAAGGGACCCTGAAATATATAAGTGCAATCCTTTTATCTTTTGAAATGTTGGCATGGTGTATGAGTAGGTAATAAAAGCATGAAATGAAATTCAACCTGATATAATTCTAAAGAGATTTTAAAAAGTGTATCATATCTAACAATCTAGAAGGAACGGAAGATGATTACTTATGCATTGATCTGAGTAACAGTGATCGAGTAAAGATAAAACAGAGAATTCGATGATGTGACTGAAAATATAACGTAAGACGAATATAGCAAACTTTTTATGCTATTCAATAATAAAAGTACATATAAGGCAAGTCATTTCATTTAAATACAGTTTTCAGATATAAATCAGAAATCTGATTTTTTATTCTCATGTTTTCATTATTTTTAAAGATTTTACTTTTATGTCCGGTGCATAATGGTAGCCTATAAATTTCTATATCTTATTTTTCAATTCCTACTATTAGTTCAAACTTTCCCTATATATATACCGTACCATCCATTTTCTATATTCTAAACCCTATTACAATTTTAATTTCTTATATATTCTTCAATATCTGGTTCTTCTACAATCTCAATTTTTTTTCGGTTTTGCTTAATGAATGTTCATCTCTCATTAGTAGAGAATTTAGACTATATATATATATATACTAGCTGGTATACCCGTTCTTCGCACGGGTGAATTGAAAAATTAAACAATACAGATTGAAGGATAAAGAGGTTTTTAATGAGTTAATTTTACGTGAATTGCAAATTGAACAAAATGATTTTTGCTTATCTCAGCTGAACAAAAAAACATGTTTGTTAAATTCTGTAGATCTAATAGCTGATAAAAAGGGGTTTTTTTTTTCTTAATAACACCCCGTAACTCTCTTGTGGGTCGGTTTTTGAAAACACCCTCCTAAGCTGATCTCTGCTCAACAAAAGTAACACATTGCTACACATTTTGTGTAATGAACGCTTAAAATAGTGTAAATAATTTATATCTTGATATGTAATACTTTAATACTACTTCCTGTTGCATTTATTGGAGTTTGCTTCTTGAGAATCGATGTTCATATAAAGCCCCCGGTATGAAACTTATGAAGAGTGAAATTTTAAAAAAGCGCTAACAAAAATGTATTACGCGCGCTTCTGCGCATGCCCTAAATCTTAGTCGGGGAAAAAAAGGAAGCGTTTCTATTTTTTCTTCTTTTTTAAAATTGCGATATTTTTCTTTTCTTATGAAAATCAGAAAAAAAAATAATTACAGAATCGGAAAGATCACTTATTTCGCCACAATACGGTATAAAAATTTTTCAAAATAACGAAACTTTGTATTTTTAACGATTTTTTCAAAATGAGTCAATATTGATGCGTTTTTATGAAAAAAGTTTTTCAATCATTTTGTACGAATTTCTTACCATTGCAACGCATCGAAATTATGTAATAAAAAAGTTCATACTTTATTCTTTCAGAATCAGAGATTTAAAATATAAAGTGCCAAAAACATTTTTTTTTTATGATTTTTCAAAAAACACTCAAGATTTTAACTAGACATTAAATAACTTCGTTATTTATTAAAATAATCACAAGGAACTTTCTTTCCAAGTGTCAAATGTTGTTATTCGTGTTTTTTTCAAAGATTGAAAAAAAAATAACTAAAAATTACGGATTTAAAAAACATTTTTGTGTTTTTCATCTAATACCCTTTTTTACAAGAAATCATTATAGCAGTTTTTATTTCTTACATTTTTGTTTAATAATTACCATTATTTGTTATTTATGTGGAAAATTTGAAAAGTATGTTTTAAAAACTAAGCTCTCAAAAAAATTAAAACTTTAAAAAAAATTCGCAAACTATGTTTACTAGCGTTTTAGTCTAATTTTTAGCTACACTTCATGCCTTAGCTCTTTTGACTATAACAACTGAAAATCACCAAATTTGGGGTGATGTAAAGCTGATCATGCAAAAGAAAAAGCTGCCAGAGAGAAGCTTCATAAACTCAGTACGATTGACACTAGAGGGTTACCATACGAAATTATTTTCGTCGTAGATAAGCACTATATGATAACTGCAAAAATCGACGCTGCTGATGGTTTAGGCAAAGGGGCTGTAGATAAGTTATCCCACGTTGAATTGGATGATTAGAATGGAGTTCTGCAGGTTTGGCTACTATTCTCAAACGGGGTTGGTGTTAAAGCACGAGGAAAAGTGGCTGGTTATGCAAATGCAAAATGAATCGGTAGAAAAATGGTTCCTAACAACCATAGATCTGCAACAGTTCCTCTGAACCGAAATAGATCGATTCATGCTAAAAGGAATCATTTCCCATTGGAACCAGCCTGCTCCTTGACAATTATCAATTCGCATGAAGGGACATTAGATGAAATTGTTTGCAAATACAGCTAGGCACATTCACAACATTTGGTCTACGTAGCCTTATCCAGGGTCATGGCTCAAGAAGGACTTCATATTGTACTTACTGATGAACGTCAACCTTTTTACTACGGCAGACGAAGCAATGCTTCCATTACAAAATGAGTTTACTAGGTTTTCTACAGTTCATCTTACTGCAATTGATCAAATTATGATCAATAAAATGAATGGAGGGGATAGGGTTCTCTTTTCTCTCAACTGCCAAAGTCTCCGGGCATATGCACGTGATCTCCGTAGTAATAATGTGCTAAAATCACACATTTTGATGCTATCAGAAACATGGCTTCGTAATAAGGAATTCATTGAAATTGAAAATTTTAAACTCAACACAGCACAGAAGAGATTTTGTAAGAAAAAGTACCCAGTGTGCTGTGTTATGATTAATGTTAATCAAACTAAATCTAATTTGGGAGATAATGTGCCGCGAGATGCATTTTATCTAACGTTGAACCCATTGTTGTCGTTACAGTTTATATTTCTGTCTATCAGAATGTTGCTGACATTATAGATATATTCACGAGACATTACTATCATATATATACAGAAGGTGGTTCTAATCTACTGGTGAAACAGTATCATGCACTTCCACTCATACTTGATGGCGATTTCAATATTGATTTCGATAAAGATAAAGGATTGAGATTAGCACAATTTTTAAAATCAGAGCTTAATTTGGGTTTTGTTTCAGGTAAAACACGGGGGTGATTAGGTATGGTACAACCATTGATGCGATGTTTTCACGATTCGTAAATCATGCATCTACCGACGCGCGCGCGCGTTCACTTATCATACTTTAGTTACCATAAGCCTCTTGTCAGATGGATTAATAATGGCTAGAGAATGTAATTAATACTCACAGTGATATTAATAATGAAGTAAATCAACCTTCTTAAAATGTACTCATGTACAATGAGTAACATATATTTATGTAACATAACTCATGCATATTATTTTACCGAATGATTATGAAAAATGTGAATAGAATGAAGAAAATACATACATAATTTTAGTATTATATGAGATGCGTTTATTTAGCCTGTTTGCTTATCATATAATCAAAGACAACCGTGCTTAACTACTGTCGTGCGTCGGAACCGACACACACATTTTTTTAATGATAAAATTGTATTATTTGCAAACAACGTCGTTCCTTACATTATAATGGCGATTCAATAGAAACATAGCGAAATGTTGGTGATAGGGCCAAGTTGGCATCATTTTTGGCGATCATGCTGACAACTTGGTGATTGATTGAATGGTGCAGAAGTTGATAGTACAGCGTCTCCTGTTGGAGTGTTGCAACAAAGAGGATCCACAAAAACCTTCTCCACAAAAAAATACATATGCATGCTAATTTTTGCTATATATCAAACATACATTTGCATATAGATAGATAGATAGATAGGATTTTCTTGTTCAAATTTTCAAGCGTTAATAAAAAATTTTTCACATCCACGGAAACTCTTTTTTTTAAACTTGTAGTGGATAGCATTTGATGTTAATACAGTTTTTCAACTATTAATTCATTAATTCTTTTTAATTGATGAATAAATAGTAACAAGCAAAAATAATAGTCCAACTGTAAAAGAAAATCGTTAGTTGTGTTCCTGTTGCGCAATGGAGGGCGCGTTGGACTTTTAATCCAAAGGTCGTGGGTTCGAATCCCGCCAGAGATGGCCTGATTTCTGAGAATGCGATTTCTTTTTATCATAGTATTTTATTGGAATAATTAAATTTAATAATGAATAAATAGTAATTTAATTAACAAAATTTCCAACAGCCTATGTAGAATGGAAAATTACAAGAAAAATCTCTTTCTATTTTGCCATTTAATATTGTAATTCTGTCATATGTACATACATATTTATATTAATTGTAATTATTTAATAAAAAGTAACTAAAATAAAATTTTTCTTTGTTGACCTAAGTAGGAATTGACTTAATTTTTTTTTTATGCAATCTCGAAAAATAATGTGCTTTTTTCAAATCAACCCTCATGCAAAATCCGTTTAGTAACCACCAGGAGCCTTTCTTCTTTCTCAGAAAAACTAATTTGCACTTTTAAAAAAATAAAGTAAGAATTATTACGGCTTACAGACAATGAAGTGTACTTTGAAAAGAGCAGTTTCCTGTCTATCTTAGGATATACAGCGGAATAATTTTTATTTTGTTCTTAGCGCATATTGTGATAAAATAATCATGTCCAAAGTATCGAGATTGTTTATAAACACGTGCTTTCAAAAATATTTTGATATTTCCGAAAAGAAAGTTTTAAAATAGCTTCGAAGTTTGAGAACAATGAGCTTTAATTTGATCCCGATGACACAACAATACAACCAATTGAAAGAAGACAACTTTCAAGTCAAATTTTTGACAAGCGCAGATTGTTGTCTCTTTATCATAAGACGAACGTAAAATGCTTTTGTGTTGCCACATCTCTATTTGTTTCGCATAGTAATATAAAAAAGTAGTAATCGAATCTAATACTAGAAAAGAAGGAGCATTCATCCCTTTTTTTCATTAAAAGAAACCCCAGGTACTATTTTTAAATATTATTCAGTTGCGGTATTATTTTATAATATTTTTTGTTACAATAATCAGATTAACCAAACATGGCTATCATGATGTTCTTGTACAGTTGATTTGCCTTTTTTAGGAATGCCTTAGAAATTCTAAAAAATACAGAATAATTTTATGTTTAGTTCTAAATGTGCCTATATGTGTATAGTTTTTAAACAGAAACAATGTGTACGCTAGAAGCGCATACTTATTATTCAACATAATACAACTTCCATTCTTTTCTTGGTTTTAAAAGGAATCTTATAACTCACTCAAATTGCAAATTATTTTATAAAAATATAAATCAATTTTTCGTTTTCTTCCTCATTGTGAGAGTAATTGAAATTGACTAAGTTTTATTAGTATTACTCCTTTTAAATAAAAGTACCTTAGTATAATATCCACCTTTTTACAGGAATCTGTAAATTTTGAAAGAGTATCACTTGCGTACGAGAACTGAAGATGAAATGTTTTTTAAAAAATGCATTATTTTGCTTTCTACAAATATGAATAGTTGTAGTTATATCACATTTCTGAAACAAATAATGTTAAAATAGACGACAACCTTCAAATCACGAAATTCTTCAAAAATTGAAAAACGTTTACGGTTTAATCCTGTACCTCCATTTATTAGTTTATATAGATACCAAAACCACTTATAAAAGTTTTTTTAAGAAATTTTCGTTATAGTAACCAACATAAAGTGTTTGGTGTTTTTGTAAACATTTTAATCTCTTATTTCTTGGGTCATTTAAGGGTCTCAAGGCTGTTAACTTTCTCTAGAAGACTGAAAATGTAAACAATATTCAAATATATATAACTCTTTGAAATTAAAATGAAATAATTCGAATCTCTTACACATTATTTATAAAGGAGTGGAACTTCAGAAAAGCATAAAATGTTTAAAATGTAAGCATAATTTTAAAAATTATAAGCATATAAAAATAAGAAACATTTCTATAAGAAATATTAAGTCTTACGTTGCGCATGCTATTTTCTAAAATAGTAGCTTTAATTCCCTACTATAAGTTGATTTATAAAGTTAAATGTATCCTTATTACACTGTAGTAATTTTATATTAGTAAAATAATAAATAATATTTTTTTAAAAATAAAAAATTTAAATGTTCAAAAAATTTTTTAAAAACTTCAATATTTTTCAAATATTTTGAAAAACAAACGATATGTTATTCTTAAATTATGTAGGTTTTAAAAAGTACGATGCATTTTATAATTCTGTAAAGTTTTATACATCAGCGGATACTCTATTTTAGAAAATATCGTGAGCAACGCAAAAATTATTTAATATTTATTACATATTTTAATTTGCTTATAATTTCTAAAACTATGATTATGTTCCAAACATGTTGTACTTTTTTGAAGCCATAATACTTTGTAAATAATGTGTACAAGATTCGAAGTTATTTAATTTAAATTTAAAGGAATTATACCTGTTTGAAAATTGTTTATATTTTCTTCCCTCGAGACAAGTTCAACACCCCTGAGACCCCTTAAAAAACAAATAGTAATGTTACACATATAAATGTTAAAGAATTCAATATTCTTTAAAAAAAAAATTATGTTCAAATAAGATTAAATTGATGTCGATTTTGATAAATTTTCAAGATTTTTCCCATTTTGATATTAAAAAAATGTTTTTTCCTTGCAACTTTGGCTTTTCTCATATTATTTACTAAATAAAACTACAAAAAAATTATATCTCAATTTTAAAGGGGACACAGTACGATTCAATTGACCAAAATCGGTCAAAAAAAATCAAATTTAATTTTTAGCCTAAATTGTTCTTTTATATACTTTTTCCCATAACCTCACAAAATTTGAAAGCTCTAAACTTAAAAAAACCAGAATTATAATAGCTTTACGTTGTTTCAATTATCCTAAGGCAATCAAAACTTTAAAAACTGCCGTATCTTAAAGATAAAATACTATTTGTCTTTTATTTTAAAATGCTAAGGCTTTTTTCATTGCCTAATGCTTGAATTTTTCATATTCCCAAGTACATGTATAAAAGTTGTATGCATTTTGTATAAAACAATATATTTTTTAAAAATAATTATGATTTATACATTTTTAGAATTTTCAAAAATTTCATAAAAAAAGTATTGTAAAGAATACCAATCACGTTAACAAAAACCAATACCAACTTTTACTATAACCCTAGTTTGAGTACTTGTAAATAATATTTCATGCGTGTACGTACATTTTGTAAAAGAAGTAGCATTTAAAAATCACTTCAAAAATTTCAAGTTTTCCTTAAAAATTACTGTATCTTTATGAAATTTTGAGGACAAAATATGTTTAACATAGTTAAAACATAGGGGCAAACAAAAATATTAAAATCCTTAAATTAAAGGCCGTAAATTTCCATGTCCCTTAAAAAATCTTAGTACGTAGTTGGATACCTTAAAAAAGAACAGAAAAAAATATATATATTCGTAGAAATATCTCTCAATAATAGATTTCCCTTAAAAAGTGAAATCTTTTTTTTTAAGAGATATTGAATATTATTGAAAGTTTTGAATTTAAAAAAAATACATACAAAAATAATATTTACTTTTTTAATGATTAAGTATTTTAATTCGGTATTTTAACACTTCCCCATGCTTGTTTATTCATCACAAAGTTTTAGTTTGTCATATTCAGTAAAAGTTTTCAATTTATGAATCAATTATTTATAAGTTGTGATAACGTAAATTGATAAGGAAAAGATTTTTTCCCAATATGAATACTCAATATTTCATGCTCGTCTAAATATTATGAATTCCCTTCATGACTATATACAAGTTATAATCTATCAAATATTATTTATTGTTTCAGCTTACTTACATTATATTTTCGGAAAATGTCTCTTCAAACAATTCAAGTTATTGTTCAATATACAGTTGTACCTATATATAACAAACCTCTATATTGCGAACTTTTTCTTTAGTGATTCAATTTTTTTCTCTCCTTGTTTTTAAAGTATTTCTGAATAATTCAAGTTATTCTCTCTTAAACACATCTCTTGAACTCGTTTTATTAGACCCTAACTCGCCGAGTGCAAAAGAGTTCTGGACGTTTCATCCAAGAAGTGCAAACCCCCATTGTCCAGTTCACTAGAAACATCTTCGATATCCCCTTTCCCACTCAGTGGAGTTGTCCCGTGTCCTAAGTATAAAATAATTATGTTTAATGTTATAAGAGTTGTGTGCTTTAAATTAGAAAATTTCTTTAAGAATTTTTTATAAAATTTTTTTCTTGTATTTAAAAAAAGGGCATTCTTTTTAACCCAAATTTTTTTTGTTTTTCCTTGCAGTTTTTCTTTCTTCCTTTTTTTAAAGGATAAGATATATAAAATAAATATATATTATTTTTAGAAAATGTGTGAATAATTACTTTTTTCAATATATAGTGTTTATGAATTTAAAAAATTTTTTTTTGTGGGATTGGAAATATTTGTAATGAACCTTTTTATATAAGGGGTTTTTCCCTATAACGAACTTTTTCAGGGTTTCGACTTCGTTTTATAACGACTATTTATAAAAATACGCTGGAAAAACTCTTTTCAATATTTTTATTTTAAAATTTACCATTTTTTTTCTCAAAAAATTTGGGATAATAGGATCTATCCTCAGATTCAAATTGTACCAAAATTTTTGCCGTATTTAAATTTTTTAATGGATCAAAAAATTGGATCCGATTTTACTGAAATTTTACATACACATAATACATTATACATATATGAAAGCTTCGCATGAGCAAGCACCCTCCTTTTCATGCTTCCACACCGTGCCAACAAAATTTGTCATTGCCCGAGAGATTTAATTGTTTCATGAAAACTGCACGTGATCTCATTTTAGTTTTTGGTTCTACATATCTGTGAGAACTTCTCTCTTATGAAAAATACTTTTTTTTGTCCACAAAGACGTTGTTTAGTAGCCAAACATCCAGATTCTTATCCGTCAAATTTAAAATAACAAGTTTTCCCTGATATTAAGGCATTAAGGAGAGCGGCGCAGGAAATATTCTCTATAAAATTCTTATTTTTTTCAATTAACTACTTTGATTTTTTAACTATACAATTTATTTGTCATTAATTTTACTAATTATATTATATT